GGTATGGAATACCCGGCTCTGTATGGCCAGGTGGGGTCAGCCCCCACCCCCCGGCTGTGCCCCTTCCTGGATTCCGGTGAAAATTAACCCTGTTCTGGCCAAACCCAGGACAGATGTAAAACTGTTGTTAGGACTTAAGCAGTGAGGTTCATTTCTATAACATGGAATAAGACCGTCAGCTTTGCTTTTAGTGCAGCTACTGGAAGAAAGTCTGGGACTCTTAGCTGGGAGCTGTTTCTGGAACCTGCTCTGTGCTGTCTCTTGATTGACAACTCATAAAACTACAGAGCCTGACACCTTCTGTTGATGTAAAACTGTTGTTAGGACTTAAGCAGTGAGGTTCATTTCTATAACATGGAATAAGACCGTCAGCTTTGCTTTTAGTGCAGCTACTGGAAGAAAGTCTGGGACTCTTAGCTGGGAGCTGTTTCTGGAACCTGCTCTGTGCTGTCTCTTGATTGACAACTCATAAAACTACAGAGCCTGACACCTTCTGTTTCTTCTTTAAGCTTCTCTCTGGGTGAAAAGGGTAGACTATAATAAAAATCTTTGATTTTTGTGGGTGGCCTTCTGGTGAATAATTACAGCTGTTCACTACCCACTTCTGTGTGTAACAGCACTTCGAACAAGTTTTTGGAATTAAAAAAATAGACATCTGTTGCTCATGAGACTAGTGGCAATGAAGTCTGTAAGCCTCATTCATCTGTTGCTTGGCAAACCTATGAGACGTTATCACAGTCTGCAGACTTGGGAAGATGCTGCATGGGTTTAACTTGGTTCACATTTGTTTTTCACAACCATGTGAACTAGGAACTCTTCTAAAATTAGTTTAAATTCCACACAATAAAAAGTTGATTTGCACAGTTGCGTGTTTTTAACTTATGTGGATTGCACATTTTAGTCCCGTTACTTATTACAGGAGGACTAGTGACTTCATAATTGCTCTGAAAGAGTCATTTGGTATGTGTCTGAGACCCATTAATGGACTGGCTTTATCCAGTAACTTACCATATGCCTTATAATGGCTATTTACTGGAACTTCACTCTCCAGGGGAAAGGAGGGCTCCAGTATGACCTTTCTCCATGGCTTGAAGCTGCCATCCCTCTGCTCTCTGCTGTAAAACAGAGGCAACTCCGCTCGCCAGCTGCATTCACCAGTGGAAAGAAGGCACACCTTTGCAGCATTTTTCCATCTCTATTGTTGAAGTCCATTCCACCTTGCCTCATAACCAGCTGCAGAGCCACAACTGGTAATTATCAATTTTAGACTGCTCATGGCCAATAGACTCCGCAAATGTAACTGTTTGCCAGTTTATTAATCTATTAACTAACTGGTTTACCTCCACACCTTGGCATATAGAAATACTTTACATTAACTTGATGTAATTCTCAGTTCTTCATTTTTGTTTTGCATCATTCTGCTTAACAAACCTTGCTGTTTCATTATCTCCTAATCCTTCAATCAGCTGTTATACCTTTTGGTCTCTGTACTTGATCAGTTCTTCTGATGTTAAGTACTAGTCTCACTTTTATAATGGCTGGTGAATTGAATACCCTCAGACCGATCACGTGTGATGCCTGGTGGCAGGGTTGGTCAAAGGATGATGGAATGTGGTCAAAACTGTTAATAAACCTCGCTGTCTTCTGCCACTACCCACGTTTTAAAAAATTCCTACATTAAGATGATAGACATTTAGGAACATAGCCATGTTAAAGCAATGTTAAAGTTTTACTGCAGTACCTTTTTTGAGATGACATCGCTTTATCACTCTTTCATCTGTATTTTGAGGGCACAAAAGAATCTCCTTACTCATAAATGTTAATTAAATGGATATTAGAGCCACAGAACATTTCTCAAATAGCTAGTTTTAACACTTGCTACTTGGATTCTTTGCTAGTCTGTGCTTTTGGTCATGCCATGCTTTTGACTTATTAGACAACTGGGTTTTTAAAACAGTGTGAACACTTGGTTTTTTCCTTCATGGAAGTGGATCAAAGTGCTATGAATATTCTTGTTCCGGAGATTCCCCTGTTAGGACTGTAAGCGTGTGGAAATATTATTCATCTGGATAGCTTTCAAAGAGCTCTTTGACTTCACATTGTTGTATTTGAAAGTGTTTTTTCTACAGACGAGAAAAGGAAGGTTTTCTTTACTCGGTGTATTGGGTGATGCAGGAGCTGATTGTTGTGATGCCTTGTTTCAGCTTCACTCTGCTAAACTGGCTAACAGCTCTGATGCTTGCTTTTAATTGCAGAGGAAATGTCTGTCTTTTCCTGCGTGTTGTGTTGTAGCTACATTTTTTGATAACTTCTTCTATTCAACTTCAGTTCTTCTGAAGTTATGGAGATCATCTGGTGATGTGGCTACCACTTACCTATTATGTCTGAGATTGTTAATCTCTGTTAGTGAGAGGTGGCATGCAGTGTTTTTATTCCAGTGGAGTACCGTGACTTGTATAGTACTGATGATCTTTCTAGGTAAAGATGTGGCATAAGAGGTGTTTTGTAGTGGTCTGTCGTGACTTTAGGGCTGCACTTGCTCCTGGGTTGTTTTTCAGGCAATTTGAGACCCTCTTCTCCCTTGGAATTTTTTTGTTCATGAAGATCCCTTAAAGGTTCTGTGCTTCTCTTAACGATGCTCTTCTTACCCTCAACGCTGCCTGTTTTGTATTTGAGTAAAACCAACAGTACTCTTCTAATCTCTACACTCTCCTTTTGAAGAAGGGGCTAAAGACTTAGGACAGGTTTTTAAGAAGGCTTCTGTCAGATACCGCCAGGTCTGCTAATCTGAGTTGCGCTTCTTGGTTACAGACTGAGATTTCTTGCTGATTGAATTGAAGATGGCCAGTCCAGTCAGTGATGGTGAGAACTGTTTGTATGTTTTTGCCCCCTGTCTTCATAGTAGGCGACCAAGTGTTCGAAGTGGACAGGTCATTCCTTTCTTGCCTCAAGCAGCTGTAACTTATCCCATGCATATGGATTCTAGCAGCCAAGATTTTTGGTGGAAAAGAAAGTTCAAGTTGTAATAGACTGCATTAGGATTGCTAGCTTCCGCGTTTCCGCTCCTCTGGAATTTCTCTGGCTGCTCCCTATTTATGACTGTATGAACAACGTAAATAGACTTTGCCAGCAAAGTAGTGACCTTTGTTCCTCCCTACAAACATTTTCCTTTAAAAATTCTCTTTGAAATCACTGAAGGAAGGATTCCCGTTGTAGGTAGATCTAAGCATGTTGATTTCAATTCAGACCTGTCTTTACTTCTGCTACACAAAAGTACCACACACAAGGGCGTGTTCTATAGCAGTTCAATTGACAAGCAGTAAAACTATTGTTCTCTCCTTATGGTTCATTTAGCATTCATTGCGATGACAACCCTGCTCTGATACTGCTGATCAGCTCAGCTGTCAGCTGACTGGGTGTGCTCTTCTGGCCTTTGGTAGATACTGTGGTTAAGAAAATACATTGTATTCTGTGAGCATCAACCTAGAGATGACTTGAACATACACAGAGTGGTGCTGCTTGCTAGCTATGCTATTCACTTGTTAAATTGCACTTGTTACCAAGTCTAACTTTTGCTGAAGCCTAACTGGCCTTTTTTAAAGATTATCATCTGGATGTGGTTTTCTCTGATCTTTGCTTTATGCCGCTGAATTTGCAGGTGTGCATATATATGCATATTTTCATATATATAGTGGGCTTTTCATATGAAAAGTACTTATGAGAAGGAGCTTTCTCTGATTTATTGCCGTTCTTTGGCTCAAAACCTTGAGTTTAACAACTTCCTGAAAAACACAACAGACTATGCTCCTTCATTTGTAAGCTTGTTTTGTTTCAAAGCTCTCATCTGGAATTGAAATTTGACCTGAAAAGTGCTATGCCTGCTTGTGTTTCGGGAACCTTGTATGTTAGTTCTGCAAATCGATCTAAATCTGACACCTGGGTTAAATCCTCCCAGTTCCGGGGGGGGGTGAGCATTCTGTGCTTGGTGTGCAGAACAATGGTGCTAGTCGTTTCTTCAGAACACAAGGGTGAAATAATTAGTTTGCAGATTTCTGCACTCTCAAATTAAAAGCTTGTAGGTTGGTAAAATGGGTTAGCAAACATTCCTTTTGGAGAAGCAAAGATGATCTCAGGAGGATATTTGTGTGTGTTTTGAAAATATTGAATGAGTGTGAAGAATTATCTGTTTTTTTGTGGCCTTTCTTATGCAGCACATGCTACTCGTGACCAGCTGGAAAGCAGAGCACACAGCATAGAAGAAATCTGTCCAGAACTGTAACTGCTTGTCAAAGACACAAATGTAAACATCGCTTCATGATTTTTGCGATTAAGGCTCTTAAATATTGAGAAGCATATCAGTTACAATGTTGTATTGCCAAGAATGTTAATTTTAGATTTGTCCATTAGGCAGAAAAAACTGTCTAATTGATTTATTCTTGTGCCTAGTATTTCATGGAGAATACTGCTTCATAATCTGTTCAACCAGAATGGCATTCCCTGTATGTATAACGCTGATCATCTTGCGTAATGTACTGTTACTCTTAATGCTTCAAAACAGACAGTATCTTTTGGCTTTTCACTATTTATTTGACAGTGTTCTAGGTGTGGTATCTTTTATGGAAAGGTTTGGGATTCAAGAGCCAAACGGTACAGCATATATCAGATTGACATGCAAGCTATTTATCAGATGTGTTAAGCAGTTTAAAAAAGGGATTATTTAAGTCTTACAACTTTTTTGTAAAATGTTGACCTGTTACTCTAGATTTCAGGACGTTATTACCTGTACTTTCCCAGTCTTTAGAAGAGCTGTATTATTATTTTTAAGAGTGGTGTTTGGAATCGGTTGGTAGTTTCTGACTAAGGCAGCACTAATTTCTGGTGGAGGGAATGTTTTTACACTGGAAATGTGCAAACTTGAACTTCACATTTAACTGTCATGACCTCTTCTGTCGGGACTGGATGTTTTGTGGAGCTCTCTTTGGCCTGTCATGAGAACATGGAAGTTGCCTCCAACATTTCTCTTAAAACCACACCCACTGTCACTCTTCTGGCTCGCTTCAAACTTTTGGTCCTTTCTGGTTGTATGAAGAGTGCTTGTGCCACTAGCACCTGAGCAAAAACACCCAGCCATGAGCAAATCCACATCCGGACCGTGAAGATGAGCTGAGTTTAGGCTCTGGCTGTTCTGCACGTAAAGGTAACTGCTGATGATCTACTCATTCGGGGTTGGTAACCTGCATCCTGAAAACCACTGGTCTAAATCTTCTTGTATCCATTGCAACTTACAGCAGCTGCTTTCGTAAAATGAAGGCTGTTTGGAAGAGTAGAAGGGAAACTGCCTATTTGAAATACTTGCTTACAGTGTGGTTGTATAGCCCCTGTAAAGAGGGATTCTGATCCACTCGATGGAATTTGACTGGTGAATGTTCCAGTATTCAGAGTAGTTCCTGGGTTTTATTACACAAATGTAGTATACACTTAAGCATTAGTTTGGTTATGGAATACAGTGTATATCTTAATTTTGATTTGAATTTGATAGTTGCAAAATCCATATAATTATATGGATTTATTTTAAAATGTCTTTTTGTCTGCTGTATATGTGAAGTTTGAATAAAGGAATGAAAGTTATTTTACAGTTATATACATTCTCAAGTGTGAGCTTTCATGAAATCCCAGAGAGGCTGAGACTTAATAAGGCAATAGGGTGCTGTTCTTTGGAAGATTTATATGGGAATAGTTCATTAGAATGGATGCATTGCCAAAGATAACCTGTGAGTTTTGCGAACTGGGTGTTGCAGCATGCCTTTCCCAACTATCTCCTTTCCTTAGTAGGTAGTAGGGTTGTCAGTTGTGGGATATTTAGTCTTGTAAGGGCCTGAATCAAGAAAATAGTGTCTTTTCACATGAAAGAGTTCAGCTTTTGATTCAGTCCAGTGTGATGATGTTAATTTCTCAATATGAAGAATGCTGTTTCTCCTTGTGTCAAATGTGGCTACTTCTATAGAATAAACAGGGGCAAAGAGTAAGCATGTAGATACTTCTGACTCCTGAAATCACTTACTGTAGCTTTAAATGTGGCTCCCAAGAATAGGATTTCAAAACTTAAAGTTTGCACCCTTTATGTACCAGCTTGCAGCGTTCAGACTGCTGGAATGTCTGCACCAACCTGTGTGTCAAAGGGACCAGGTGACGGCCCGGACTGCCCCAGCCAGGGCAGCTCAGTCCCACTGAGAGAGTGGCAGCGCTCAGCCAAGCTGCGTTGCTTTCAGACTGGAGCACGAATGGCTCAGGATTTGGCCTATGGGTAGTGCAGGTGTCTTCTGCGATGCTGTAAACCAGGTTACTTGTACTTTGTGATAAGTACAAGTAGGTACTTTGTACTCACAATTAAGGCAGAATCTATGAGAAGCAGGTCTTACATATCTAATGTC